TGCTGAAAAGACAACATCTTACCACATGCAGTGATAATGATAAAAAAAAAAGAGATAAAGATCCCTGGAAAGATCCAACAATTCCCAATTACCATTCAAAAAGTGGGTTATCGGCATAGAAACATAACTACATAACTAAAAATACCCTAAGAAATGGGATAACAGAAGACAATTTCTGCCAGACTTGAACCCAAAGCTAAAAAAATAATACAACAATATCCAAATTAAAGCTTCCTGATATTTATGAAAGAATAACACAAAGGAAGATAACCATACAGTATGTATGAATAACCCTTAAAGAGTAATTAAAGTAGTAAACAAGCTGTTTCATAAAATATAAAAACCTAAGTGAATCTATATTACAAAGGAAATATAAATTAAACTAAATACAGAAATCTAGTGATAAGAGAGATATTCAGGCTCAATTAGGTAAAAAAACCTGCAAACTACTCGCTCATAAAATCTGAAAAGATCACTGTCGTAATAAGCACCATCAACTTAAAGGAACGGGCGAACACCAAACTCTCGAATTGTAAGGATAGGTTCATATAAATAAAAAGATATTCAACCATCCTAAAGGACCCATCTTTAAATTTATCCCAACGAAATTGAAAAGCTGCCAACAAATTCAGCTAAGACGACAACATGAATAACCAAACAGTTAGAATTTCTCTGCTTGCAATTTTCAAACTCCCCAAATAACCTAGTCGCTGATCTGCGTACAAAATCCATGCAGAATCTTCACAGTCTTAGAACTTGAAAACATCAAAGCCTTCCTAATGTACACTTTTAGACCATATACTAAACCGCAAAATAAAGAAACAAAACCATAAAGAAGTTATGAAACCTTCTTAAGTAAGGCAAAACAATTTTAGCTAAATTAGTAAGTCCTTTTTGCTGCAAGAGGCTGTTAATAGAGGTAAATTCTGTTATAGAATGAGATTTAATTCCAAATTTAGCTAGCTAATCAACACAAGCATTACCCTCATGATATGCATGAGGGATTTTATAGTTAAACATGGTAAGGAGATCCATAATCGCCCTCAGCAAATAGAAGAGCTCTGTACCACAAGTGGATTTGGTACCATATTCAGAAATGAGATGTATGGCAAGGGAAGCATCCATCTCTATCCATAAATTCCTGATTTGCAAAATATTGGCTAAAGAAAGATCATATTTAAGAGCATATTATTCAGCATGAATAGAAGAACAAGGGGAAAGAGAAAAGTGTAAGCTATAATCATATTTCCTAAATTATTTCTAAGCAAGCTTCCTTAGCCACCACAATCATTGGAAGCAGAACAATTAATATTAATCTCAGTTCAATTAATGTTAGTTTTTAACCAAGTAACACATATAATAGGTTTGTACAGGTTATCCGGGAAATGGATTTCAAAATAAGTACTAATAGAGTTAAAATATTTAAAGCTTCTCCTATCAATCAATTGAGCTTTAGCAAGCGCAATTCTTTTCTTAATACGTCAAATGATATGATAAGAATTCATTTTGATATCTTTATGTTTGGCTTTGTTTCCTTCCATCTAAATAAACCAAAGGATTGATGAGATGAGTATGGTTTTAACCTGGCACAGAAGATAACCAGTTAGCAGTCAACTGGTTAATGAAATGATTATGATGAAATATCAATTTCTCACATATGTCATCCATCCAAATCCAGAGTTTAGAGGCAATAGCTCCATTAACAAAAAGATGACTATGACTTTCAATATGATAGCAGCAGAAGCATTGAGAAGGTAAAGAGAGAACTTTTTCCCATAGATTACATACATAAATACATTCATACATGCATATGTATATAAACTAACATAGTAGCAAGTTTTCTAACTTCTTGCATCAGGCTCCTTTCTTGCTTTCTATATTCTCTTCCTTCTGGTTGTTTTCTGAATTAGGTTATGCTTGGCTCTGGAGACCGTCGAACTGAAAACTGGATGAGATCAACAGAGTCCAGCTTTAAAGAAAAGTTTCGAGGATGGGTTGGATTTAATGTTCCAGTTTCTCACCGAATAACTGCTGGGTAGGAAATGCCTTTCATTCAAAACTAAATGCATACATATCATTATAAAATGAAGGTGAACTGATATAACATCTTTAACTATCAGGTGTGATATGTTGCTGATGCCTTCAAGATTTGAACCTTGCGGACTAAATCAGTTATATGCTATGCGATATGGAACTGTGCCAATCGTGCACAAGACAGGTGGCCTTAGGGTAAGAATATTAAAAATGCTGTCTATAACAGAGCTCACTTTTCCTATATTATATATGTATGTGTGTGTACAGGATACAGTAGAAAATTTTGATCCATATGCTGATGAAGGAAATGGTCGGGGCACAGGGTATGTGAAATTCTCCATTAGTTGATGTTTTCTCTATGGATATGTCTAATAAAAATATCCCATATTAAATTGTTACTAGTATCGGGAATAAAAACTAAAGAAATTTAGCATAGTCATGTTTTAGTTGCATCTTCATTTATTCTTTTTACTCATTAATTAACCTTTATATCAAATATTCATCTTGATGGAGATAGGTTATTTACGAACTAAAATTTGTAGTCATATCTAAATTAGTTTTTATTTGTGGAACTCTGTAGATATAATTAAAAATAAGATTTCAAGCAATATCCAAGCTAGTTTGGAAAAAACCAAGTTATACATATTTGATGAATTATAAATGCGTCACAGGTAATGGCGTGGCATTGCAAGTCTTTTTAATTGTGGATTTGGTCCGGGTTAATGTAGCATTACCATGTTGAAATTGCATCTTGCTTCCTTTTGCTTACTTGGTTTTTTGGATATTGTTACAGGTGGGCGTTTACACCACTAACAACCGAAAGCATGCTAAATGTAAGTCCAAACATTCATGCCTTATAGTCACTGTTTTCCGAGCTGCTAATGTCTGCTGTGGAAATGATCAACGTAGATGTTAGAGGATTCTATTTAGCCATAATTTATAAGCTATAGTTGATTGGGGTTTTGAAAAGAGCTACAATTAGCTTGCCAGTTCTACATAAAAAAATCTTAAAAATAGGAAATATGAGAACAAGGTGATGTGCGCGCTAAACGGGAAGAGACAGAGAGATGCTTCAAAATAAAATATTTCATTGGAAGTGAAGCCTTTTGACAAATTAATGATAGAAAATGGTTAATCCGAAAAAAAAGAAACATTTGATATTAGAAATGAATTGATGTTGAGGCTACTCAATAATAGCCTTTATCTTTTGTGGGCCATAAGCCACAAAATCAAGAAAATCAACTTGTATCTGAGAAAAAATTAAACTTCTTTTGATTAACGTGTACCTTTCGTTTGATCAAAGTGTCTCTTACGAAGAAGGCATGATTGAGTTCTTTTGCTTTAGAAATATTATAAATGAGTTGTTTTTGTCTAAAGGCCTTCGTTTTAGTAGATGTAAAACTAAATATATTGAATGTAATTAAAAGGTGATCAAATTATTAAAAGGTTTGAATATTTTAGATATCTTGGGTCTATTGTTCAAAGTGAAGATGATATTCTTGGGGATGTTGTTAGTATAATTCAAGTTGGTTGGTTGAAATGGAGGAATGCATCAGGCCTATTTTGTAATAGAAAAGTACTGCTTAGACTTAAAGAAAAATTTTATAAGATGGTGGTGAGACATGCAATGCTTTATGGCGGAGAATGTTGGCCTTTAAAAGAAAAGCATAAAACAAAGTTAAGTATTGCTGAGATGAGAATGCATAGGTGGATGAGTGGTTTGGCACTTAGAAACAAAATACGAAACGCATATATACGTGATAGGGTCCATTGGCTGAAATGATTAGAGAGAGTCGTCTTAGATGGTTTGGTTACATTAAACATTGACCATCTAATGATCCGGTTAGGAGATTAGATATTCTAGATTCGACTTATGTTAAGAATGACAGTGGTAAACCTAAAAAATACTTGGGCATATTGTATAAAAAATAATCTTAATCTATTAGAATTAAATGAGAATATGACACTCAATAGGACACAATAGAGAAAACTGATTCATGTAGCGGATCCCACGTAATGAGATCAAGGCTTGTTGTTGTTGAGTGTTTTCAAAATATTTGACTAAAAATTTATTATTAATCGGTTTAAGAGTTTAATTCATTTTCCTCTTTAAAGTATTCTGCTTATTGAAATACCAAAAGGCATCAATATTCACTTATAGTCCAATAGGTGTCTTTAAAGTTACCATCCATTCATCTCTATGGTAAAATTGAGTAGAGTGTTAACCTCTTCTAGGATCAAACTGTAAAATTAACAGGAATCTTGAAATTAAATCTGAGCATATCTTTTGATTGCGGAGTCAAGAGCATACGTATAAAAATAATTTTATTGATAGGATACTTTTGTTTTGAGTCATTTTTTGTTGAGAATCAATAAATTAGGTATAGTTTTAGGTCTCAGACATTTATATGTAAATCTTTTCTTTTTGTTAATTGTGAACTTATCATTTTAATTCATTATGTTTTTTGTTGTCAGCCTATAGATTAAGTAGGTTTGGTAATTAGAATTCAAAACCAAACTAATTGTATGTTGACGGATTGGGTAACTCATAAGGTTCCTCCATTGTTGTACCTCTAAAATTTACAAAGTGTTTACTAGCTTTGATAGGTATTAAATATTCATTAGTTTATGTAATGGCTTCTCAGATGACCAATAACTAATTACCTCATGTTCTAGTTTTTTTTTTATTTTTTTATTTTTTATTTTTTTATTTATGAATTTGTTTTATCATAGGATTTATTTCTTTTCTTTTCGCTTATCTTGAGATTTCATATTTTAAGAATAGGCTTTTGCATTTGGCTTCGAAGTAATGGTAGCGCCCTTATGCATAAATAGACAAGTATTTTCTTGTCTATTATGGACCAATTTTGATCATATGATCAAGATCTACCAAGAAGGATATTTGGAATGTGCATTGATAAAATGATACACCGTATCTAATACTTATAACTTTCTACTTCTGTGTACTAAGCATGTTTTTGTTATTGGTAATGAAATTTTATTTACTTTACATACGTTGAAAGGTTTAGGGCATGGTTTAGAGCTGAGTTTGATCTCTAACAGTGCAATTTTGGAGACAGCGTCAATTGTCTTAGTGTCATCAATTACAACCTTAGATATCCAATATGTTTTGGTTGCTTGGAATTACATCATATATCTGATTAAAACATTTTCCTCAATATCCTTTTCTTCCTCTTCAATGATAGATTTTTTGCATTTCACTTGTTTAATGTATTCATCATCTAAACTGGAAAAAAATCCTATATTAATCATAAGTGTCTTCCTAGTACCTCATAATAGATAACCCTTTAGGAACATTTGATGATGCTATTGTTTTTGTTGGGTGTAATTAAGTCTTTTAAAAGAATTAATAACTCTAGTCAATTTAAAATTTGTGGTCTTGATAAATGGTTGATTAGACATTTCAATTAAACTATAAGTGACTCATGTTTGTTGTTCCAACATTCTGAGACTCTATGATGTACATTATTGAAAGATTCAAGAGTTATAAATTATATTTTTTATTTTTTTTTTAAGTTCAGTCCTTTGTTCATTAATGAGCTTGGACTTGAATATTCAAGATTATTTAAGAAGACTGATGGGCGAAATTGTTTTGAAACAAGCAATCAATCAATAACTCAAGTATATGTGTCGATCAAGTAATATAAAAAATTAGTCCGCATATCAATCTCACGAGAAAACTTGTCAAACTAACCTACAAAGTTCTAGTTTACAGCACCAGTAAGTTTAGTTTGAAATGTTCGGATTTGTAGAAGGTTGAATTTCAGATATCATTTCAAAAATTAAGATTCAAGTTAGATTATTTTAGCTGACGCTTAAAAGTTTTAATTATCTTTGGTTAGTTATATTTTCAATTACACCTTTTTACTTATTCTTGGATTTTTTTTTGTTTTCAGTTAGAAGTAATTAAAGTGAATGACTAAATTATTAGGACTTTAATTTTAACCCCCCCATTTTAATGACATTTACAGTTCTTAAGAAATTATTATATATACTTATAAAATCATCAAGAATCCTATCATGAGCCACTACTCTAAGGCCAAGTCTATAGCTTAGGTATGTAACTTATTTCGAGGCAAGTACACATGTATCACTCCCTCTTCCAAACTTATTTATTATCTTGTGCATGCCACGCGAAAGTGCAATAAAGGACAATAGTGTAACATTTAATAATAGAGAATTTAACATTACAGAACATCATATCTAGTCAACAGCAAAGGTAAACATCCATGTGAAAATCAACAGTGCCAACAAAATATCATGTCAACATTGGAGATCCATCACAACAAAATAAAATCACAGAAATATCGACTAAGTGTAGTGCAACCAACTCTAATAAGGTTTGTAACAAACACTAGCATTATACTTTTTAAATAAAAAAAACTTACACAAATCAAATTCAAAGCAAATCAACACAAAACACACTCGAATCGAAGGATAACACTTGAGTTACGAAGGATAACACTTGAGTTACCTTTCAAGTGGTGTTTAATTTAACGTTCCAGGCTAACAAAATTAAATCAATCCTAAGACATTTCTCTAAGATCAAATTGCCTATTTAGTAATTCCTAATTAGTTTTCTCAACTTTTAACTGTCCTGGACTATTGTCTAAGTCATCAAATTTGTCATAACCTCGAATCTTCTAGAATATGTGTTCCTCCTCACACCCTCTGCAGTATATCTTCTGATGGATATGTCAGATGTCAACTCAGATGATAAATCGTAAAAAATACTTGATCCATGGTTCTTATCAACTTCCCCAATTTTAATTCACTCGACTCAGTAGATATAATGAGGGCAAAGCAAATGGTTATCCTAAAGACGCATACCTGAGGTGCTTTGGGAGACTTTTCACTTATAACTCTTGGGCTTCTTCTATGGACGACAATAAAAGCTTGGCTTTGATATTTATGTCTACAAGCTCAACCCTATCTCTAACAACTCTTGGGCTTGGGTTCGCCTTTAAAAGTAGAGCATATTTTTTTTTGTCATTATTGGTACAATCCTCAACCATCACTTGCTTTACTGGGATTGCCTCCACAAATTCAAAATTTTGGTTATCAACTGTCACTGCCACTGCAACCAAATCTACCCTATGTCATTGGTTATCGCTAGAGCGCTGGTGAAATTTCATTGATTTCAAAACATTAAAAGTCACTTCCTAATCATTTACTTTCATGGTCAATTCTCTTTTTTGCACATCAATCATTGTCTTTTCAATGACTAAAAAGGGTCTGTCAAGGATGATGTGGATCTCCTTATCTTCCTTCTTTTTTATGACAATGAAATCAACAAGAAACATACATTTTTTATCACCTCCCTAGGATGGGTCAGTGATTGGTCAACTAATTGCAGGATCACCGTGGTGGGCATGACCTTTTCTAATCATAGTCTATTGAAAATGGACAGATGCATGAGGTTGATACTGGTGCCTAAGGGTGTGTTTAGGGCAACTTGTGCTTATCCAAATAAGCCACTTATCTAGAAAGGCGAACCGCGGGGTGCAACCCGCGTTCCGTGTTAAAAAAACCATTTGTGTTTTCGGACAAGCTGCTCAAGCGCAGTTACCTAACGGTGAGGCGGTGTTTTCAAAACGCTGCCGCAGTGGATAAGCTGCCCCAAACGGAGCCTAAGTCATAAAGAACTTTCCATAAATTTTTTTCCTATGGAATACAAAATAGTAAAGCTCCCGAGTCTTTAAATTTCTATGACAATTTCTTTTGCATGATTGCGCTATATGCTCAGTTAAGGTAACAATTTCAAAATATTTGAGATTTCTCTTCTTTTCAAGGATCTCTTTCAAAAACTTCA